GCTTTTTTTAAATAGATTGAATTAAAAAGTTTGTCTTTTTGCTGAAAGAAAGTATAATCTTGCTGGCTCTTTTTTTTTGAAAAGACAGACCAGAAAGGTTGCACATTTCACATCATCCTCTAAGAAAAAAGTTTTTTTCATGACGATTTTCAAAAAAAAATTGCAAACTAAGTTTAATGTTTTGTTTTCTTTGAAAATGTCTTTCTTCTTAGTTTGAAAATGTTTTCGGAGATTTTTATGAACGCTTCTGCAAAAGAATCAGAGGTTTCTCTGATGGATGACAAATTTCGGAAAGTGGATGACTGAAAAGTTCGTAGCTCTTGTGAAAAAAATAATTTCAAGTTAGAAATCTTACTGCCAAAATGTGAGTGTGAGTTTTTGTCCGGAGTCCAGTTATAGCCCAGATCTTTTCGATCGAGATTATTTATGCATTAATGAATGTGCGAAAAAATTGAAAATAAGAATGTTTGCTATTGAATTTGTTGCACTAATTTATATTTTTCGTGAGGTTCAATTTAGAGACTAGGATGCTTGATTTTTTCTTTTTGAAGGTACATGTGGAAATACAGATAACCCATGCAAAAAAATGTTTTTTAAACAACATTCTCGAGTTTTAGATTGGTTTAGATATTACATAATCAATATCGAGCCGGAATTTGAGGAAAGGAAACATAAAGATTTGATTTTCATGTGGTATGGTATTTTTCTTGAGCGAAAAATTTGGTCTGTTCTGGTATGAGGGCTGGTTTGAATAGTAGTTTCTTCCTGAATACATTTTTATGATGAGAGAAAAAACTTCTAGCAACTGGACACTATGAATAACTATCCACTTTTCCTATTATGAAGAGTTCAACCTTGTTAAGAAACTTTATCTCTTTCTATTTCAGAATTTTCAGCAGAAATGTTCTCTGAAAACAATTCTACTTCACATTTCGCCAAACACTATGTGAACATACTAAGTATTGTGATCTGAAAACTATTAAAAGTGAAAGAAATTTCCTTTCCTGCTGTGTTACAACCGCATTTTGCGTATACCAACAATTGCTTGAAATTTCTGATGTAGATTAAAAGAAAAAAGAAAGCGCGATGTTCTCAAATTGTTCAGCCTCATAGAAGCTAGCCTTTTTCCCTTCGAAAATAGATGAATACAACCAAAGTTACTAAATAATGATGAATATTGCAAAGTCGGTTAAGCAGTGCTGTCCTAATTTCTTCTCAAAGAAGATGGAATTGGATGTTGGGTCTGATATTAATTCTGTATTTTAGAAACTTTGTGAAGCAAAACCCTGAAAGTTGGTTGTGCAAAAATTTTTTTTAGTTTTTTTTTCAGACTTACAACAAAGTCGGAAGATTGTCAGTTATAAGCAAATTTAATGCAAGCACAGTGTAGCTGATGCATAGATTGAAAAATGAAATTTTTTTTTGAGTGTTTCGAAATTGAAATGGATAACAAAGCGATTTGTTTCTTTTTTTCTTCGCTTTTCTTGTTTTTCTTTTTTTTTCAGCATTTCAATTCCAATTTGAAATGGCATCAGGTCGTTCTTCTTGAAAGAAATGTTTGTGCAGTTTGAGTTGAAGAAGAAATTGATTGAACGCTCGAAATATTACCAAGTAGACGTAGTAAGAGCAAGAAATGTGATTAAGAACATTAGCATCTACAAAAACTCAAAAAAATCACTTCCAAACTTTTAATCATTTTTTCACTTAGTCACTTGGTGAAAAAAACGCTGTTCTAATTTTTTTGTAGGATTCTGAGACTTTTTGAGCTGAAAGTATGCCAATTCTATTTTTGAGGAAAAGATGCTACCGCAAATGTGATAACAATATTATTATCTCTATATCTGACATTTCCAACCTTGGAGCAATGTAAATCAAAGGATATAAGATTTCAACTCGTTGCGCTTTTTTTTTTACTACCATCTAAATCACAAGTAAAGGACCGAAAATTTTGGTTTTTTTTTAAATTGAGAATTTGATGATATATCACTACTTATAAGTATAGCTTAAAGAGTATGATTGTCAGAAGCAGAGGATGTTAGATAGATAACTCAGATCATGTTGATTTTTTTTTTGAATCTGTACTCCAAAGTGTGAACTAATTCAAAAATTTCAAGTCCAAGCGTCTAAAAATCAATGCATATGGCAGAGTATTCGACAGAATTGATCGCAATTATAAACAAGATCTGCTGTTTTGGCATTTGCATATGTTAGAACGCAGTTTTGGGTACAACGTGGAAGCGCGTCATTGTGACTATAGATTCGAAGGACAAAGACTACTGGATTTTTTTTTCAAGGCAGCAATGATTTTTATCTTATGTTTGATACATGGTGACTGTTCCTCAAAATTGAGGCTATCAATCTACTTGAGTAACTTGAAAAAGACGATGAGTATCTGCTCTTGAATTTAAATGACATGAGATCTGATCTATGCATGATCGATTTGGGCGTGATCAGTTATCAACATTGTGGAACTATTGGCAACCGTAGAAAATTTAACTCGGAAGTTGCGTAATTCCTCTCATGAATTTTAAAAAGGCGGCTGCGATGTGCGATCAAAAGTTTCACTACTAGTCTCCGGATTGACTTGTAGGAGGCACGCGCCGAGACCGATGGTTGATGCATCGGTGTGGATGATATAGGGTTTTCCTAGAATAGGAAGCACTAAAACAAGCGCATCCACTAGGGCATGTTTTAATGCTTGGAATGCTATTTCTCACTCCTTGCTCCAAAGAAAAACTGCATCTTTTATGCGAAGTTTGTTCAATGAATGGGAAATTGTAGCAAAACGCGGTAAATCTTCAAAAGTACGATCCTGCACTAAGAATGATTTGAGTGCTATTATTATCTGTGAGGCGCGGAATATCACCAAAGCTGTCGAAATTTTTTTTTATTGATCTAGACGTGTATCATTTTCATGAAACAACAAACAATATAATTCGTGTTGTGTATAGTATGAATATTTCTAAATATTTCAAAAGGTTTGAAGTGGTTTTGTATCGACAGCAGAAGGTAAATATTACGATAATATAATTTGCGTAAGATATACGGCAGCGGGATATCGGGCACAACTGTTGTTGTTGGCAGTATAAGTTGCATAAGAACAGACGCTAAGGGGTCATACTGTGCAACTGCTGCTGTTGGACGTATACCATGATCGTAAAAGATTAGGTTACGCAATTATTCCTGTTCCAAGGCTTATCGCGACGCAAAGCAGACGTATTTGCACTATCGCAGCTGAAAGGTCATAGCGCTCAAATAATATTAATTTGTCACAAAAAAATTTGTCGCGGGTCACATGCTTACAACTTGCGAGGGCAGCTGCGTTGCTCTATAGCCAAAGGGGGTCACCGCGCGCGGACAGTAGCACTGGGTTTTGCTATATTTCCTGAGAGGTCGAAGCATTACGTTTTGTCGACACTTCCCAGCAGAAGTTATCTGCAGTGGGCCAGCAGATTTATCTTTCTGGGTCTAATACTGCAGTGAATTTTGTGCTAGCAATTGCGAACAAGTCCATTGTCTAATTATAAAAAAGAAAAAAAATAAAATAAGTTAACAAAAATTCACGGAATCACGGTTTCACGGATTCACGGATCACGGATCACGGATTCACGGATCACGGATCACGGCATCACGGATCACGGCTACTAAATGCGCTTTTTAAATTCACGGATTCACGGATTCACGGAATCACGGATCACGGAAAATGCGAGCGCTTTACGAAAGAAAGAAATTGACAAAATGGGACTGTTCGCAGGACTGTATAAATAATTTTTATTTTATTTTATTTGATAATTTTTTTTCTTTCTGAAAAGGTTAAATATTTGACTCACACAGAGATTAGATATTTCACTCACACAGCTAATATATTTGTGCAACATAAAAAAAAACACTCACACACAGTTGTTCGTTGGTGACGCACAGTTGGTGACGTCCGTAGCGATCGATCGAATTGTAGAGGGGGAGGGAGGGGGAGGGGATAAATTTTTTTTTGAAACCCATATCAAAAGTGAAGGTGAGAAAAAAATCCTAGAATTCTTAAAAAAAAAAGAAATCTTCCCTAGGACCTCCATGTCAAGTCTAGGGGTGTACGGGCCCTAGCTTGATGTGTAGCGGTACAGGTTGTTATTATATATATTTATTATCTACATATATTACAAGAAAGGGGAAGGGGGAAGACTGACTAGGCAGCCTTACGGGACGCGGTCGTAGGGGGTCACTGGCTCCTATCTGACCTTCTCGGCCAGCTCACGGGAGAGCAGCAGGCGGAATGCGTCCCGACAGATTTACGGTATCGCAATCACTCATTTCCCTCCATTACTGTAGGAACACGGTAGAAATTTTGAAAAGGGTCTGGGCCATTAGTCTGCATATATTAGAAATTATGAGATCCACATTTACACAGATGATGGCAAGCTCTCAGAATTAGTTCCAAAAAATTTGCTGATATGTTCCTGAATCCTCACAGATACTCCACAGCCCAGCAAAAATGGAAGAATAAATAATTGTTGAATAAATCATTAGGTATTCACAGAATCTAAATTCTTTCTGGAAAACCCTTATATGCGTTTGTGTAAAGAGTGGAAAAATATTTTGTTGTAATCCTCTTGAAAAAAAATCTAAAGGTGTGAAGATTTTTGACTAGGCTTGCTTTTTGACATTTTGTGGATAAAAGAAAAGGTTTGCAGCATGACGTTGATTTCCGGCAATTTGACTTCCCCCAGAAAATCGGTAGAATTACCTTCTAAAGAGTTTTTCTCTACGTTTGGTTGAGGAGAGTGAGAAAAACTCCCTACTCGAATTTTTTGAGAATCAGTGTTGCCGAAACCTTTCCGTAGCAGATTCAAAGTTTCGGCATTATTGGCTGTAGGATAGGTTGACAGTGACCCATTTTTCTTGCATTTTCACGGTTCAAAAGCTGCCCAGTATTTGTCGTCAGCATATCAGAGCATTTTCATGAAGCTATTGAAATCATAGGTTTTTGAAAGAATATTTTATTCCAGGTAGCCCTATCCGGTAACTGGCGTTATCAGCGCCATTCGCACACGTGGTCTCGGGTGGGAAGCGAGCAGATGTATGGCGTACCCGGGCGAACTGGTTAGTACAAAGTAAACAATAAGCAGTAAACGATGTTATCAGCACGAAAAAATCGATATTTGCAAATTCCGATAATTTCTTGAGCGTACGATTAGATAAGTCTTTTACTATCCTATCTATTCCTGCAAAAAAAAAAAATTTGACAGCCTGCTGCTTGTACTAAACCCCGCTAAAGTTTCAGTATGCCCGAAACCGAACTGGGACACATATCGGGACCAAGTGGATCCCCGACATCGTTATGAACTTCGAGAAATGCGGGATCCGTACCCGGGAAAACGTAGTGACCGCCAACTTGAACGATATGCGGAAAGTGCAGATTGTAACGGAAATGCGTAAGTTTTTTTTTCGATTTGGAATTTTTTCTTCGCTGAGCTGCATGCTATTCTTTGCTGCCTCTGAGTCATCAACGAAATTTTGATTGTTTATGTGGGAAAGGCTCTGATTCAGAGCATATGCAAGGTGTTGCAAAGCTTTTTCTTCTAAAAGAAACATTTTCAAAGGATTAGGAAATGTTTCCTGGCGAAAAATATCTTATACCCTCAGCTAGCGATAACATTTTGATTTTCGTAATCGTAATTCTCTTATCGTTGCCTCGTAAACCTTCTCGTATGTACTCCTTCTCGGAAGCTTATCACATTTCAAAAGCTAATATATTGATTCTATTTTCTGGCAGCAAATAATAGCTAACCAAAGCAAATTGCTATTTTTGACCGCTTAATCTTGTGCACCAATATTTTTCTTAAATTTTATCTCACTTTTCTTTTCCAGTGCCACCAACAAATTACAACGCTCACATAGCGAGCGAATCAAAGAACGTGCCCGTGCAATCATGAAGAAAATGGATCTGAGATCGAGTAGCAGGTACAAAGCTCCCTTGCTCCAAATAAGAATAAAAACAAAAATTGATTTTACAGGCGCCGGAAAGATTCTCGGCATCGAGATCCGACTTGTATGGTAATAGGCGATCCAGTGTTAGTATCGTATGATTCTGCTAGTCCGGAAACTATGCGCATGGTCCCGCGTCCCAGTAACCTTGATGGTAAGGATTACTAAAAAATCGCTGTATGCTCTTTTTGTTCTCTTGATAATTATTGAGTAGAAATTTTCATTAGCTACATATTCTTTGATTCAGCTGGCTTGGCGGCTGGAAGGCGGGGCTTTGTGACCTAATTAAGGCTAAATAATGATCAGAGAGCGCGAGGAAGACGCAGACTGCGTAGTGAGCGCGAGCTTGACTGTGACCTTAATTAGGTCACAAAGCCCCGCCTTCCAGCTGCCAAACCAGTTGAATCAAAGGTTAGGTAAGTAGGAAATCTACATAGAATGTACATTAACAAAAAGTCATTATTCGTCAAGGGGTCCCGGAGAGTGTCTAGAGTTCAAAACTCCATCTAAGGGAATGGATGAAACGGAAAGCAAAAATGAAAAAAATCGTTTTTTAGTAATAATTTCGCTTATCAAATCCCTATCAAAGTTTTGAGCAGGGAAAAACCAATAGGCATTTCTGAATTTTGCAAATCAGTTTTGAAGGACTATATGGTTGATTCCAACCTGTCTGAGAAGACTTTAGCAGCTTTCATTTTTATGGTAAAGCTACGAAATTTTCTTTCTGGCACATTTTTCCATGTGTTTCTTAACAGTAGGTTTATAGTTTTTTGAGGGCCGCTGATAAACAAAAACAAATCATTTTGTTTCGTGGTTTACTCAAGTTTTAAATATGCCGCATACTTTCAATAGAGGCTTGAAAATAGAATTAATTTTGAACTCCAGCTATGAATGATTATAAGCTGAGCCTATGAATGAATATAAGTGCATCAAAAATAAAATTTTGCTGCGCATATTTAGTAATTCTATTTCTTATCAAATTTCTGTTTGTAATCGATTGATATCAGCTTTCGATTTGATCTTTACTTTGGAATGGCTTGCCGTGTTACCAAACTTCTTACCCTTTGCCAACCTCTATTCGACCAACACTAACCCCAGAGTGCTCACCTGACTGCGTGTTTAGCTCGAAATGGACGCATTCCTGCTGGCGCAGCCGATCGCCACTCGCGCAGCAAAAGCGCACGACGTCAGGGCATGGTGGTGCTGTCACCATCATCACCGGACTCTTCAGACGACTCCTTTCTGTCGTCGCATCATCGACGTCCCGCCGGACCATCCGTTCATACTCGGCGCGATCGTTCGGTGCCGCCACAGCTGATCGAGACCGAGTACGAGTACGCTCCGCACGAACGGCTACGCAGGGAGCGTAACCCGTACGACAGCTATTTGTACCCGGCCGCGTCGCCGAACAGCTTAACTAGGTACTTTTCTGAATATAACTCTTTGTTCCGCTGAGCAGTGATAGATACGCCGATTAAAGGCACCGTCTAGCCAAATTAAGGGTGGGTAGTGAGATTGTGATGATGTATAATAGCAGAGCCCTAACCAAGTAATTGCTCTGGTCTCGCTGCAAAAGATGGATTCCAAAATGAAAAAATCGCTCCAGAAGGCAGAAGCGTCCAAGAGGCTCCGCCCATCAAAGTGGGCGACCCGAGGAAGAAAAGGCCAAAATTGGGCTTCAGCAGGTTCAGGAGTGCCATTAATTATCCATTATGAAAGCCAGATTTTTGACATTACCACCTACAATGAAGCCCGATCGTCGATTTTTTAACCCACGTTGATGGGAGGAGCCACCTTAGTGGCTCATAGTTTCTGGAGCGGTCCTCTCGCTTCGGATTTCGTTTTTTCTAGCGGACTTTGGGCAATTGCTTAGTTAGGGAACCCGCTATCGAACAGCTTCAAAATCTCACCATTTTCTATTTTGTGCCCTTTTTTCATAGTCTAAGCACTGCTCTTGGAACTCTTTAAACCCAAACCAAATTTCCTTATTTCTAACATTTCCTTACAGAACTGCCACAGCTCCATCACGACCGAATCGTCGTGCTCTACAACAATGTGCATCTGGTGGTGGCTATGATGCAGCCGTAAATGGCAGTTCGCCTTACTACGGTAGTGGCGGCTATTCGTCGTCGCCCGCCTACAGTAGTCCGTACAGTACACGTTCATATCAGTCACCACCGGTCATAGCACGAAATCTCGTCATACAACCAGACGGATATTTTATGCATGGTGATTTGATTGATTGCACTTTCCCTACTAACAATTTGATTCTTCGATTTGCATGCTGCTAACCTCTTATCGTGAGCTTGTCATGACTTTATGGGGGACTGATTTCTTGCTTGAAATGATAGTTTTTCTCAACAGATGTATCGCCCGACACATCGCTGTCACGTCTACGACCGCCTCGGTCAGAATCGCCATCGACTTCAAGTGGAGTGCCTCAACTACGTGTTGATACACATGCCAATAAAGTAAGAATTTACCTGCTATTAAAAAAAATTTCTATTAAGTATTCGTGATCAAAAAATTCACTTATTTCTCGCCTAATACCGTTGTCAATGACACTGATTAGCCTTCTAGTAGAGAACGAGTACGGTAGTGGGCGAAAGTCTAGAGCTGACATTTTCAGAAAGAATAAATTCAAGCTTCTTTTTTTTGCGCGCAAGATTCGGACCCCTAATTTGTTGCTTTCTAAATTAGATATCCAGGTATCCAGATTTTTCTGAGACCGATTTTCACTTTCTTCTCAATTTGGGAAAAGGTGCTCCAGGTTGAATCGACTGTAAAAAAGACAAGAATTTTTTACTTTGGCTTTCCCTCGCGCAACCGTGACTACAGCAATCTTTTTTTGGAAGCAGCTGATTATGGATTTACCAATAGCGCTTCTATTCCTTTGTGTTTATAGAGCGAATCCAGCTTGGACAATACAGATGAAGAGCAATCATCGGGAACAACCACCATGAATCACAATCGTAGAGATTCTGGAGTCGGATCAAGCCTATCCAGATCACCTAGGTAGTTTCTGCAAGTTTCCGTAATTATCACTGCAACGCTTCTAGCGTTAGATATAATTAACAAACGATTCAACTCAAAAAGATGGATGTTTTAGCGGACCATCATCTCAGCGTCTACGCCAATCTATACTACCGTATTCGACAAATTCCTTCTCGTTTCTCTTGAACACCAATCATGTCGGATCATTACAAAGTAAACGACGAGCAGCTGAGAGAAGTCTGATGTCATCGTCGATCATGTCGAGGTAAAATGCCCAGTTAGGGAAATGCCCAGAAGTGAAATATTCTGACGATATTTTCAGTTGTTCTTCGGATGATGCTTTCTTCACAGATGTTCAGCTGGCCAGATGTGTAGATTCACTCAGCGTATCTGAATTGGTGAGCATTTATCATTCTTGAAAGTGGTCTTTGAAATATTTCCCTAAGGAAAGGGGGACAGGAATTCGCTAGAAATATTGAAGTATAACCTAACCACTCCCTTCAAAATTCTTTTAGGATGATTCTTTTTTAATTCCCTAATACTTATCGATCTTCTCATGAAGATTTTGGAAAAGCGTGGCGGCGCAACGACCGCAAAAATATTTTATTGCTAGTTTTTATTTTCATGTTATTTCGATAGATGTTTGATTTTTTGCATCGAAAGCAGATTACTGTATAATTTATGTCAAAACATACTATAAGCTCACTGTGAATGCCAAATCTCCGCATGTTATCTCTCCGAGTTGGTGAAATTTCAACGCTACAACTACTATACTTGAAATTTTTGCATTGGTTGAGTCTTCATTTTAGGCTCGTCTCAATAAATTAGCGTATTTGCGTGTGACAGCGATTCTCGAAAAGCATATGGGTCCCAGAAGCACCGTCAAGATTGGAGGTAGTTGCATGATCTCAGTTTTGTTCCTGATCTCAATAATTTTAAGGATCTGTAGTAACCAATTGTTGTTTAGATGTGTCTCCTACACAAAATGGCGTTGTCAAAAATTGGACTGTCCAAAAGCTTTTCAAAAAGATCAAAATGGATGGCAAGACTGGAAAAGGTTTGATTCAAGTTGTAAGGTACAATATCTAATGATATTACTCCTTTTGCAGAAATCGAAATCGCAAATCAAGTGTTTGGACAACCACTCACAATCATCTACAAACGATGCGGATTGTGTCTACCGAGAACAATCTTGGAGGTAGGGGATTTTCATTAATCCTTATTCAGACAAAAACAAAGTCACCCTTACAGATTCTACGGTATCTTCGTCAAATGGCGCCGGATACTGTGGGCATTTTCCGCAAGAATGGAGTGAAGTCAAGAATTCTTGAAGTTCGCATGCTCTGCGATCGCGATGCCGAAGCGGATGTGTTTGTAGACGAGAATAGGCTTGACCCTGGACAGGTAAAGGCTACTTCGGCAATCAAGTATACGTAATGATTACTTTGAAAAATGATTGTTATTTAGGTTCACGATGTGGCCGATACGCTGAAACAGTACCTCAGGGAATTACCGGAGCCACTAATGACCACTCGGCTATCGGAAACGTTTGCTAATATATTCATACATGTCCCGGAGAATGAAAGGTTAGTAAGTTGACACATGATCGTATACATAAAGGCTACTGCAAGACGCGGCGCGTGTCAGTATTAGTTGAGCGAGCGCGACCACGACGCGCGCGTGTCTTCACCGTTGAAATCATGCGCCACATGCGCTATGCGGCTAATAAAGCCGCGTTCGCGCTCAAAGATACTGCGCCTTCGTCGTGCAGCTGCCTACATCTTCGACTCTAACTAGAAGCATACTGTTCTGGAAATGTTCGAAAACTAACCATACAAGTGTAAACTACAATTTAGAAGACAGCTTTTTTGCAAATTTATTTCGATTTGACTTTTTTGAGCAAAGGCCTTACCATAGTTGAAGAAAGGTTAAGCGCAAATCGGTGATCTTGCCAAACAGAGAATTGCAGGATTTTTTGCAAAAATTGGTAGCTTTTCACATCCAAGCTGCGACTCTGCAATTTCAATCTTCTCAATTCATATAGTTACCCTACTTTGCGTAGATACAGATTGCTTGAGCTACTGACACACCAACATGAATTCTCGGAGAGAATCCCGAAAATCTTCTTTTATCTGTGATTTACTTATTCCACCATACTTGCGGCTACCAATATCGGCGAAAGAATCACTCAAAAAACTTGAAATCGTACGCTTTTTCTTATTTATACCGCATGTGTACTTCATAGTGCCAGTAGTCAACTCTTTTCGAAGTGAACCATTTTCAGGCTACTAGCTCTTCAGTACGCCATCCTTCTACTGCCAGATGAGAATCGTGAAGCGCTACAAACGCTGCTGCTCTTCCTAAGTGATGTGTCGAAACATGCCGATAGCAATAGCGTTAGTTCAAATAATGGTTTTCCGTGCAGATCCAACCGTATCCGAATTCAAAAAACCTGTTTTAGATGCCAGCACAAAATCTTGCAGTATGCTTCACTCCGTCGCTTTTCCAACTGAGCGCTTCTCGTCTTGATAAGATCACACCAACGAGGTTAATGTGGTTTTACAAGTTGTTACAAACTTCGAATTTGTAATAAGCTTTGCAAAGTTACCATTGTGAGAATCAGTACGAAACGTCTGAATGTTTATAGAAGGCACAAAACTATCGGAGCCGCTGGAATGCCAACAGAGCGAGAAATGCGCGAAACAAGGGCCGCTCAACAATGTCTCACTTTCATGATTCAAAATTGCCGAAACGTGTTCGTAGCAGCTGAGACTGGTCCAGAGGACAGGTAGGCAATGTAAGTCTTTGATTTTACGCAATAAATAAGTCTTTCAGGATTCAAGCAGAAAGTGACGCACCGCTGCTTAAGGAACTAGGTCTTCGTGGTCCGCGAGCTTTTCTTATCGATCGAGTAAACGATTTAATTAGGGTGAGTAGATTTCAGATTTGCCAAGATCCGCAGAGTTCTGGCCCAAATATTTTATCTTGGACGCTACTCAGATGAACATGCTCCCTCGTTTTGCAATAGAGCAATTTCTGTGGACGCAAGTTGTCAAGGTTTCTGGAAGTTTTGCGGAATTTTGCAAGCTGTTCGCTATGTTCAGATTTTTTGTTGGCAAAAATAGATTTCTATGAAACAAGGTCAGCATAAGATTCTTTGGCAAATGTTTGCAACTTACCCTTAATTTGGTTTTAGCAAGGAGAGCGAAAACACATACTCCCGTTTCGCAAGCAAAAGAATTTTTTCGCATCAGTTTTCTAATTTGTATTCTAGACCTATGCACGACTGTTTTACATCTCCAGAATGTCAAATTCTTGCCCTTTTCATTTTGAGATTAATATAATGAATTACTGCAGCATTTGCAGACAAATAGAATTTGTTGTTGACTGCACCTGACTCGAATCCTGCCATATTACGCCTGAACTTATGCTGCTTCTTGTTTTTGGGACTTGTAGGAAATTTTTGAGTAGCATAGTTGCTAGTTCTGTGAGTAAAGGAAATCAAAAGACGTTTGACAGAACTCTTGTACCTTTTTTTCATTGTTGAAACGTAAGTAGCTGCTGGTCTACTTAAAATGCCTTTTGGTCAAGAACCAAATTACTTACCTCGAAATTTCAGGATCATGCTGATCGCTGGAAAGCATGGATCTTGGAGGGTTTCCACGAGGATATAGAAATATCTTGCAAAATGCCTAATGAGGATCATCCGCTGAGACTGTTCCGCGTTTGGGTGGACGTGGCAGCACCTCCAAAGCAAGTGATGAATAGGGTCATGAGAGAGAGGTTAGTCAGGTTACGGTAGGCTATGGACTTCATTGTTTTCAAATTATTCTCTTACAGAAATGTCTGGGACACTTCGGTTGTAAATTGGCGAACCATCGATGTCCTTCAAGCTCCAGATACCGATCTCCATCAATATGTCCTCAACGATACTGTAGGACATCCAACAAGGGACTGCTTTGTTGCACGGTCAGTTTGGACCATTATTTTTTTTGTTTTTTCTACGAATTTTCTTCACATAAAGCATTTTTTATTTTATTTTGCACAGCTTCGTGCTGCCTAATTTTCTCCGTTTATCTAAAAAAACGACTCAAATTTAGTACTTGCATGATGGGGGCTCTTTTAGCTTCCACAAGGCGGACTTGTCCGAAATTCGCGGCGCTTGTGCAATCGCAGAACGAAGCGTTCAGTGCAGCGAAGCACAGCTTCTCGGTGGCACTTCTGCTGCCGTTCTCGATAGTCACTTCCTCATCGAACCGAAAGCCGGCCATTCTCGCGTCACGTACATTTCTAGGATTGATTTGAGGTTTGTCAAGCTCAAAGCTCCCCACTTACTTCTCCTAAATGCACTTTTTAGGGGTCGCGGTCCCGCTTGGTATAATAAGGTGTACGGTAATATCGTAGCCAGACAAATGATTCGATTGCGCGAATCGTTCCAATCAAGTTCGGAGAATATTGGACCGGAGACCAAAGTGTGACTCGGCAGCTGGCAAATTGCCCAAAACGATGCTTTTCTAGCTGAGAATCATGACATGTAAAGCTCTTCACTCTTGTATGCTTACTGTAATCCTACAGTACAGCTTGCCAATGACAAGAATCTACGCTAACCAATAAAGGAAATTGCCGTATGGTAGTTTATATAATCACACGGGCCCCGTTTTTCTTTTTCAATGTGTTGCTCATTTTGTGTAAAAAAAATCTGCATAGGTCGCCCAACGTTTTTTAGAGTCGATGGTGCTTCTCACAAATCTAAATTGTTGCTTTCGGTAGACACGACCCGGTTTCTGTTCAGCTTTTCTTCGCATCTTCTCACTGTCTCGTCAACTCTTTTGTCTTTTGTCGTTTTTGTACTCGCATTGCCTGCCTCGTCCTGCTCTCGATTGGATCAATTTTTGATCCTTCGACTTTTCTCTTGTTTGTAAATAGCCCAAGGATTTCACTTGAGATGTTCTATGTCATATCACATGTGAATAGATGAGAGTGTGTATTTATTCAATTTATACTCTTTTCTGCAAGCTGCAAAGTAAATTTTTTTGAACACTTGAAGGTTTCGAAATGCAATTCCCATTACACACACTCGATTCTTATGGTAGCCAATCAGTTCTCCTGAAGCGGCAGGATTTATAGAAATGATCAGCAAGGAATTTTTTTTAAGGCCGGGCATACTTCACGCGATTTCAGTCGCGAAGCTCGCCAGAAGTCTTCATATTCAACACTGGCAAAATGCACATGCACAGTGTGTATAACTTACGTGGATTGATAAAATGCCCTATCTTCTGTACATTTAAAATGTATTCAAAGCAAGTTATGGACAGTTGGAGTATTGCCAAGTCGCGTCGCGACTGAAATCGCGTGAAGTATGCCAGGCCCTCCAGGTGACCGTGACCATTCGAGATGGGTCATATACGCTCAGGTAGACCTTGGGACGCTGATATCAAATCTGTGTTCCATAATTGCGAAACAGTAATCCTCGCGAAGTTGTGAGTTTTTTCGTACCGGGACCTGAGCGGCTTCAATGGATCTGGTGCTCAAGTATACATATGGTCTGAGGGGCGTGGCCTAGTGGATAACGAGGTTCACTCTGAGTTAGCCACATAGTCGTTCGAGTCTCGCCTCAGTCAACTGTTTTGCATTGTTACAAATTAATTTTTTTCAAATATATTTTTTCTTGGTATACTCGTCTGCCACAAATCGTTGAAAAACAGAAAAGAAAATGTTGTCAGCAGTAGCGGTAATCCTAATGACACCTACACTTATAATCGTTTCAATCACAATCGAATATGACCCATGTTTGACCTTTTAAGGTAAAAGCAGTGATGGGCGCAAGTTATGTACAAGACGAGAACAAGCAAAAAGAGGGGAACTTATGGCTGTGAGCCGTAATGCTTTCCTGTCAGCCTCTTATAATAAATTATTAACATAAATAAAAGGAGAGGAGTTTCATCGAGGAAGAATCAGGCCGCAGGCAACGCGCATTCCGGAATTGCCTGTCATAGCGCTTTCACCTCTACCAGTTTTGCCCAAATCGTCCTGCATGGCATGAATAACGATGGTCCTTCCTATTATATCTCTAGGTCCTCTGGTTATGGAAGCTCCGCTCGTTTTGATATCAAACATCGCTTCTCCATTTCGCTGAAACGAAAGTGATACGGAAATGGGCAAATTCAGCAAAGATCCTGTTTCAAAATATTGGAATTTTTTTGAAATTTCTTGAGATTATAATCTTGCCCAAGTGGCTTGTTTTCGCTTATAAATAACTTGAGTATTTGAGAAGTGTCCAAAATTTGAGTGAGCTTCGTAAAAAAATGCGGTTGCGTTTTTCCGCAAAATCCAGACAATTACATCTCTCCATTAGGCGCGACTAATGTCCCCCCCCCCCTCCTCTTTCGGGTAAGAAACTCTGACTTACCCCCTCTCCTCGCCATCTCCAGAACCAAGACCGAGTCTGATGAATTACTAAAAATCTCGCCCAGAATCAGACTTTCTCCGGCGAATCAATGGAAACAAAGTGAAGAAGTTGGTTGGTCTGCTCGGAATGAGTACGGTCTGGGCGAGACGTTAGAGTTGTATTGTCATGGGTGAGAGAAGTTATAAAATTGAACAATTCAGTTGGAACTCTTACTTAGTTTTCCAAAAATTAGTAAGGAACCTAAGTAATTGGTTCTGCCTATATACTGCATTTATTAATCAAGACTTAAGCTGGTACTTTTTGGTATACCTTAATTGAATGTATTAATCAATAGCCGCCAAACTCACATTCGCGAAGATATTCCCAAGATCTCCCACATGCCGATCATTTCGTCTGCCTTGTAGGCCCCCATGGGGTGCTCCGAAAGGATTGAAGTGAGGACCAGCAGCCATGCATCCATTACCCAAGTCCCCAATTGCGTGAACATGCATTCCATGGTACCCTGGCGTCAGCGTAAACACAGTTCCTCGAAACTGAAGGAATGAGCATCTAGATAAAGAGTCTTGGCCAGGAAAAACAAATCGACTCACGCGAACTTGATTCCCTGATTGAGTAATGTCAATAATGCCGATTGAAGTGTTGGGATAGCCACCAGGGACGGCTCGGAAAATTGTAGCTCGAGCTCTGGCTGTGGGTGTTGGAGGGCAACTGTGCAAGGAGTATATTGTAGCGGAGATCAAGAATAGGGTCCTGAGCAGCATGTTGGTTGGTTTCAAAACCCTACAAACAGGACGTTGGGCGATCACTTTTGGAAAATACAGAAATTTTGCGAGAGAATTTGGCACAATGAGACAACAAAAGAAGACAGAGGTACTATTTATTTGACTTTGCGATATTATCAATCAAAGTTTTCTCCATGGTGAAAGGAAGCGGATATCTGGAATTCCTTCGGATGTTTGCAGCGTTTGCAAACAGAATCTTACAATGGATATTACTGACTTAGGTCAGGCACTGAATTTGTCCTTGCTTGTCACTTGAAGATTAGATTATTGTTTGTGGAAAATTTTCGATAAAGGGCCACTATAGGAAGTCGTTCCACACAAAAATGAGAGCAGTATGAATTATTCTTTCTTAAACTGCACTTACTGCAACTTAAGCTGTGGCACACCAAATCAACGAATAATCAGATCTGCCTATCATGGCGGATGTTGGGACTTTCCATGATTTTTGGATTTTCTTGTGGAAACTGCTGGCTAAAGCACTTTTTTGTTTTTGCATTGATAAATGAACATTGTTCACTCTCGCCAAGTTCAACAATTAGCTTAGCTCACTCTCAGTTTGTTGTTTATATTCAGATATTATCTATCCATGAGAAGCTGCAGTAGTATTTTACAACAGGATGCCAAGTTCAGAATATGTATGCCTAAGCTTGACCGTTACTAAAATTTCACACTTTTGGTCTTACTTTAATGTCCAATAACTCATGTGTGGCAAATTTCGATAATAAGTCCATTAACTTGGAAGTTTTCCAGCAAAACAATCGCTTTTCGGTCAAGCTTTTGTTGTACCATCAATTTTCGAGTACATTTTGCTCATCATCAAGCGATAATGTGAAAGCAGAGTCAGTCAAAAATTTATTTGAGAATAAACAAAAGATAGATGTCAGAGGATAAAAAATTTGCCGTCTTTCTATCATATTTTCTCAACTTTGGCATATGGGGCCAGTGAGTGCGAAGTTTGTGGCATGTGAATGTCAGCGAATACCCAGTCGGTGCTTTCCATTCCAGCTTACTCTGGTTCCGGTTTTCCTCGGGGGCGGAGGGTCCCGGATGGCCCAGGAGGAGATTGGACCTTTGTTCTGGGCGATCATGGTAGCGCCACTTAGGGCCGCATGCACTAACATCCTCGCGGGGAGGGGATCACAGTTTAAAAGAAAGCTTTATATTTCGAAACTCCAGATTCCTGGATTTCACGTTGTGTACCTATCCGTAAGTTTTCCTATCACCCTTCACTATGAACATGTTGAACAGGAGCGAGAAGCTGTACAAACCGCATTTTCCAGCTTTTGTATGATCCCTGATGATCCCCAGCACTTTTCTTCAGAGTCATTTTTCTCTCTCCGAAGTTAACGAAAACCTTCCAAAGTTGTACTGAACATCTAACACAACAGTGCTAAGCATGTTGCTGATGAGAACAAATGAATTTTTAAAAAATCGAGTTTTTCGGTAGACCTCAAATTTCGACCTGTGGATCATCGGAAATTTCATGACTTCAAAACATCATTTGTTCTTATCAGCAACATGCTTAGCACTATGTGTTAGATGTTCAGTACAACTTTGAAAGATTTTCGTTAACTTCGGAGAGGAAAAAATGACTCTAAAGAAAAATGCTGGGGATCATCAGGGATCATACAAAAGCTGGAAAATGCGGTTTGTACAGCTTCTCGCTCCTGTTCAACATGTTCATAGTGAAGGGTAGTAGGAATACTTACGGATAGGTACAACAACATAAAATCCAGGTATTTGGAGTTTCGAAATATAAAGCTTTCTTTTAAGCTGCGATCCCCTCCCCGCGGGGATGTTAGTGCATGCGGCCCTTACTACTACGCCATTCCCCTCCCCCTTTCCCCATCCCTCCTCTTGCGCCATCTTCCCCGTCTTTTCAATGTAATTGAACAACATGTCAAAACGCAGCAGTTAACCAAAATTTAGTTTACAAAATCTTCAGTGCTGAGGAGAAGCAAATAAAATTTTATGATTTGATTGCTCAAGCGCGGCAAAAATCGTTTGGAGTTCGGCTTCTTTACGTTTAACCAAATCTTTGCCTACATGGTATTTTGCTTTATTTCACTTCATTTTCGAAGGTCATACAGTTAAAATAGACTATGCACTTAGAAACCTCATGATGATTGCCATGAACTTGCAGAAGTGTCGCATAGCCCAACAACTTAAGATCAAGAAAGTCAAAAAGTTTGGTGGGAAACCTCTAACCTCTTTGCAATCAGCAGATAAGCATATGAATATCTTTACACTTCTCATTGTAACAATACTAAATCGGAAAAACCCGCATTATAGAGAGTAACGGTTATAGAAGAGGAAATAAAAATTGAATTGAGACAAACATCTATGAGAACAGTATGCGAGATCTCCGCATCTTTTATAGTAAGCTTCATAAAAGCAGTAAGATCCAGTCTCCATGCAGTGGTTTAACATCCACTTTAATGGAGCTTTGTATCCACTTCAATCTCTCGAGATCACGGCTGATGATAGCATGACGAGCCAAGCTTACAATAACAAGCACTTGGAGAAACATTCGTAATGCGGAAGTCGCATAATGGTATGTTCTTTGCGGTGTTCTACTCTTGTAGATTTTCGTGATGTCAATCATCGCAGAATAAAAGTTGTGAGTTTCTGCTATTCCACACTCACCATACCCCCTTTGAACAGTGTTTTACAATGATGAAAATTTTTCAAAAAAGTGTACACAATACTTTCCCTATATATTTCATGGCATTCGCCGAATGCACTACTTACTTCTAATTCGTAATGGAAATGGCTACTGAATTTACGGAGACCTCAAAATAACAAAGGATTTCAGCCGGGTACCACGTCAGTGCTTTGATTCATGCAATTTTCAGCTTGTTGAACTGGCGGTGTACCCCTTCGAGGAAGTGGGGGGATTGGTTGACCTGGGGGATCGAGCCTTCGGTACCACTGTTGGTGGCGGCGCCTCATACCACTGTCCCATTCCCCCCTTCCCCCCACACACACAGTTCCATGATACTTTGTTTATAGAATGTACTGGTATGAGGTCTAGAGAAAACTGTGCATAACACATGAGGACATGTATACTAATATACTTCAAACCAGTTCTCAGTAGAATTTCTCGTTCGCTCAAGCTTGAAGTTGTCAAAAATTTTCTCATTTTTTAAAATATCAAAAATCTTCTAGTGCTTTTTTTTTGAAAATTGTTCTTTTGCGCGAAACACTTGGACCTGCTCTTACAATTGCTAATTTGGCAGGTGTTTTGAGCTTGCGAGATTTCTAGAATGGAGGACATGTTTATTTAGAGCCATTATATAGGCAGAACTAGAAGATTGCACGATCGTACTTTATGAGACCATATGGGCCACAGAGAAGAAGTTATTGAGGGACACTGCAAGGATTTCGACATTCATAGCTTCGAATAGTATTTTTTATCCTATAGGCATATTCACTCGGAATATTACAATGTGCGGATAAAAACAATGTTGTGGTCATCTGGCAACGATGATTCCGCAGCCGAAACGTCCGCCAGAATTGCCAGTCTCTTGACTACTTGGATCCGAACCGAGACCCAAATCATCTCCGCCTTCGTGGATCACAAGTGATTTTCCAACGATGCTGTCGTCACCAGTCAGAGAGATTACGGGGTCATGCATGTAGATGACTGCGATCCCGCCGTTCTGTAATTTTGGCAATGAAACAAGGAAGAATAAAAGCGATTGTTATTGTTGCTGTGGAGGTTTTGAAAGACAAATGACAAAGACACCACTTTACAGATTCTCTGTTTTCTAGTCCTCTGATTAAGCCTAAGCCCAAGCCCAAGCCTAAGCCTAAGCCCCTATTCATGATTTCACTTGTACACTCAAACTAGCTTTAACATCTCCCACCTGTGCATAAACATTCCCGAGATCTCCAACATGCCGTATCTCATCACTTGGAGCACCATGGGTTTCATTCGTAGGATTGAAGTGCCCACCAGCATCTAGACATCCATTCCCTAGACTTCCTTCTTCATGCACATGAAACCCATGAGGTCCTGGCGATAGGCCATATAACGTTCCCTCCACCTGAAATTCGAAGTCTATAAATGCACACAACTTTTTTTTTTGAAACTTACAACTACTACGTTCCCGATTTCTGTGAAATAAACGATACCGATAGGTACAATAGGGTCACCATCTGGTACTGCCCGGTACATAACAGCGTAAGCTTTGGCATCTCCGTAACGGTCCGGAAGTGAGAAGCTGTCCAGGAGATGGATACCAGCGAGAAGCAGAAATACGGTAACTAGCATAATGCTGGAAAATACAAAAAATCGCGTACAATGTAACGGAATAAATTCAACAAAGAACTGAATCAGGTTGGCGCAGGCCATTTGAACAGTTTAGTAAATTACGGTTTCTTTTCTTCAACATCGTGGATAATGTGCAGCTGCACACTGTCAGCAGAGGAATCCTTTTGAATATGGGATTTTATACCATAATCCCTTGAGAAATCTTTTCAAATTATTAGTGAAATGCTTTACACAAGTGAAGTTTGAGGGTCTAGTTCTGAAGATTCACTCAAATTATTCAATGAGATATTGTGCTACCGATTTTTGGATTTTGAGAAATTCTACGATCGTTAGTCCAAGAATTATGCCAAGTATGCCATTGTATGAAATATGTCCATAGTCGTGCTATTCTAAGTTCCCGTAAAAAATCTTATATTTTGATATTGCTCTGGATCGCAAGTCTTTTCTTTGCATCTTTGCATGTTCAAACCTTCGAAATGTTAGTTCTCAAGAATTAGGGCACCTACAAAGGTGCAATTCTGTATTAGTATTTCTGAGCGAATAAACTATGTAATTACTGTTTGCGAGGAACACAGAACCGCTAACAAGGGAGGTGTTTTCGGTCGAAGTGGCCTTTTCAAATGGAATTGATACGACTATAAAGAGCATCAAACGCTGATTCCAAATCTGTCCTCGTTATCTGCCGAGCGCCCTTAGACGTCGAGTTATGAGCGTTTTTTGAGTTGAGAAATAAAATGCATACTTAGGACAATATTCGTTAAAATTGCTCAAATGTTCCACTGTTGATTATCAAAGCACTTTATTTAAACAATATCTTTATTCAAAGCGTTCATACTTATTATTGAACAGATTTGGAATCAGCGTTTGATGCTCTTTATAGTCTCAATTTCATTTGAAAAGGCCATTTCGACCGAAAACACCTCCCTTGTAAGAGCAAAGTCTGAAAATTCAGCTTATTTTTCGATTCTATCCATCAGAAAAGTGCGACAAGTGTATTTATAAATATTTGATGGAAAGAGTATGTGCATGAGCGAGTTGAAAATTCGCAAAATTGTTCTGAACTAACAATAACATACATCATTTTCGCTTTTTCTAAAAATCGGATTTTTTTCTATTTCGGCTGAAACTTAATGCGGAAACTCATTTGAGAACTTTTGAAAGTCCCCTGTAGAGCTTGCTTTATTATAAGAAAGACTGACTTATGTGAAAAGTTAGATACGAAAAGACTTATGAGACAACTTAATACAACTTAATAGAATATTTGACACTTGTGATATCAAATTTCTATTTTACGGTGCGATACTGAAAGTTACTGTATGATATTTATATAAGGTTTGTTTATTCAACCGTAAATCAAGTCGAGATAGTTATATTTATGTTATATTTATATGTGCAGCTTTTTTGCGGACATGAATTTCTCATGAGCATTGAATTTTCTAGAAAATCATGCATAGTTCGTTCATGCCTGCATAGGCTCAACCGTACAAATAAAAAATTCTTTTGCTATTATATCTTCGACAATTTGAATGAGCAGTTATAATTTTTCAGGATTAAGTAAGATCAGCAAGGGGCCAAATTACCTCCTTAAAAATCAAATCTTGTCTGTTGAGGCGAAAACACAAAGCGTAAGAAGTGTTCGATGTGAAGAAGTGGTAGAAGTTCAAAAAGTCATTGTTTTTTCAAGAGTATATGAGAATGTCATTACCGTTATTATCGTCATTGTCGTTATTGTCATTATTCCAGATCACCATGGATTTTTGCACTTGTCTTCTGAGAGAACAAGTTCAGTACCCTGGGATAAATCATAATATGATGTGTGATTATCAGGAGCCAAATAAGCTAAGCATAAGTATGTCAGACAGAATTAAATGACACCACAACAAAACTGGGATATATGATCTTTATACAGAGGAACTGACGTATGCAATGATATTAAAGCGTTGAGTGTTTGTGTGTGAATCAATTAGTGCTCATATATCTTCCTGCCAATTTCCGCACATCTGTAATTATAGCTAAAACATGATGGAATGCTCATAATAATTGGATCATCAAGTGCGCTAAAACTTTGAGATTTCAGAAGCGGAAGAAATTTGTGTGAGCTTAAAGGCAGTGTCCGGGCAAGAACTCGATTTTGAGATTTTGTGCTTATACGGACCTACTCGCCATGCTAAATCCGAAAATCCACATCGGAGAGCGCGAAAACGGCGAAAAAGGGCTCTAACACGGGAGGGAAATGAGCAGGTGTGCGGGGCTTTCCCCAGTGCGATTTCACGCTCTTAGCTCCCGGAGCGATATTCTCGATCCCGCTAGCCGTCCTAATATCGCTACCGGTCAAAGCGAATGATTGACTTGAAACCGGAAGCGAGAAGGTCGCTCCGGAAGCCGGGAACGTGAATTTGCAGTGGGGAGGACCCCGCCCACCTGCTCATTTCCCTCCTGTGTTAGAGTCGTTTTTCGCCATTTTCGCGCTCTACAAGGTGCATTTTCGGATTCAGCATAGCGAATAGGCCCAAGTAAGCACAAAATCTCAAAATCGAGTTTTTGCCCGGACACTGCCTTTAAGCTTAAACCAATACTTTTGCCCAAGCCTAACAAGGGGAAGAAGGTTAGCCGAAGTGGCCTTTTGCAATAAGATGTAAACTGCTTTGTAGGGCTTGGAACGCTGATTGCAAATCCGCCTTCACTATCTGCTGCGGACTTCTAAGCGAGGAGTTATGAAGGTTACTGTGAGTAAAAAGTCAAATGCAAGATTACTGTAAAAACAGTCGTAACATTTTTCATAGAGCTTGGTAGTCGGGTCATAGGTGCAACAAATATTCTTGATTCAAATATACAAACTCGAAAATGTATTGCCTTATTTAAACGTTAGGAAAAGTTATAATACAAATGATTTCATACTAATCTTGCATTTAAGTTTTTGCTCAAAACATTCACAATTCCTCACACAAAAGCCCGCAACAGATAGCAAAGACTGATTTGAAGCCAGCGTTTCAAGCTCTACAAGACAGTTTACATCTCATCTCCAAGGGCCACTCCGATCAACCTCACTTACCTTGTAAGGGAGATTGGTCGAAGTGGCCTTTTGAGATGAGATGGGGATCTACTGGTCTAAGCTTGCCTAACAAGGGAAGGATACTTGGTGACCGTGGCCTTTTAAAATGAAAAGTACATCATTAAATGCACATTAGGGCACTGAGTCCAAATCTGTTTTAATTATCTGCTGTGCGCTCCCTCCGAAAGAAGTTATGAACATTTTTTGTCACCAAAATTTGCACTGTTTTTGATGCAGGATTCACCAATATCGTTAGAATGTTCGTTTACGCACTACAAAAGAGCATACAGATAAAGAAAAGCCTCACGTTAAGCTCAAGAAAACTGTCACCCGATACATCAGATTCTGAAAAGCCTAGATACTGACGATTTTGCCTGCCTAAATCTCGCAAAAACCATATGGAAAAGAGTCCATAACTTCGTGTCGCACAGCAGATAATGAACATAGAATTCGAATCAGCGTTCCAAGGCGCACCTACTAGTATGCATCTCATTGCAAAAGGCCACGGTCACCAAGTATCCTTCCCTCGTAAGCCTAAGTTCAAGCCTGCCAGTTTTCGCACATCTGTAAACACAGCTAAAGCGTAACGGAATGCTCCCAATAATTAGATCATCAACTGAAATTACGAGATTTCAGAACCGGAAGGAATTTGCGTAAGCCTAAGCCTAAGCCTATGCCTAAGCCTAACCCTGCAATGTGCAGTTGGGCCTTTGAGAACGCAGTTACCAAAGGTAGGATTCTGTCAGACACATAAATAGTCGCTTCACACTGTTTTGAAGTATTTCTAAGTCCAAAACAATTTTGATGTGACTCAAGATATTTTGAAAAGGTTCCGGATTATAAGCATAAATAACACAATTATTTTCTACAAGTGTAGACATAAATATTAGGCTGTAAAGAAAGTTCTAAGGATGATTCTTAGTGTGCAATGGCCTCAGCTACCAAATACGCTATTCAGCTTGAAAAGATAATGATAAAACAAGGAGAAATGCCCAAAAAAGGAGAAAAATCCGCTGCCCTCAGCTGTGCGAGAAGGCACATTTTTTAAATTATAGAGGCGCAGAACTTGCAGAAGCTCGATTTGAAAATTTGTTTCATACTCTTTGATGGTTAGATGAAGCAATATCTGACTATCCGACTATAACTTGCCCCAGTATCTGGACCTTTTCTCAAGCAAGAACTGGCTCATCGATTTCAAGGTTAAAAAGATTGAATGCCCCACATTTTTCTAAACGCAGCGGGCGCTCTTCTAACAAAAGAGCATATATGATATGCATAATAGGTAGTCCAAGGTAGTCAGTGCACATGACCAAATTATCATTGATTGACAGCCACACATGATGAAGACATAAATATAACAATTTAACTTAACCTCTATTAGCAGAACCTTCTTTACAACCTAATAGTATCTATCAATCTTTCACAGCACATTTTTTGAACATTTAAGAGGTTATGCACAACTCAGATTATCATTTGGCAACGATAATTCCGCAACCGAAGCGTCCGCCAGCGTTGCCGGTTGCTTTGCTGTCTGGATGCGAACCGCGACCCAAATCGTCTTCGCCTTCGTGAATCACAAGTGATCTTCCCACGATGCTGTTCGGACCAGTTAGAGTAATCACGGAGTCACGCAGCCAAAAAGCTGCAACGCCACTGTTCTGAAAATACAAGTAGGGAGGTTCAACACATTCGAAATGAACAATTAGAATCATGCCAGCGATCAACATCTATCTAACTGGTGATCATCAATCGCTATTGCTAAGATTAAGGATTCATCCAATAATCGCTCCTTTTATTAGCTCTCAACATCACTGCCTTATTACTTACTGCCTTACAAAATGGGGGAACGAATGTAACAATGTTTACAGTAGACCGCCTACCGAAGCGATGCTGAATTTCGAAGGCAAAAAGGAAGTCCTCTAAGCACCCGGAGGTCGCCCGTACAGCG